TACGTATTTACGCAGGTGAAGTGACGTTTAAAGGTCGGAGTATCAAATGCCCATCGAATGCGAATATATTTAAGGTGCGATTGAAAATACTTCTTTTATTTTAAAAAATTAATCGAATAAAAAAATGAAGGTGAAATTATCGAATGCCAATTTTCCGAAAACCGCGGACGGCCGTGTTTATCATGTTGGAGTTAAACGAGGCGAAGGTATGTATGCATTTCAGAATTGGCGCATATATTAGACAATTGCTTTCCTAAACTCAGCTTCCTACAAAATGAAATAGTTGCCAACAGGATAATAACAGTGGGTGATATGAATCGAGCTCAATTGTTTGCCAGGTGGTTAGACAAAGATGCACCAATGTTTCAACAGACCAGTAGTCGCGGTTTCTTTACACTCACCGGCAAATATAAGGGAGAACCTGTTAGCGTTGTCGGGATCGGAATGGTAGTATTATTGATATATTAAGAATTTTTTCGTTTCAATTAAGCTATTAACCAAATGTATTCGCAAAAAGGGACTTCCAATGATGGACTTTTTTGTTCGTGAAGTACGAGCAATAACAGATGGTCCATTGATAATAATTAGATTCGGTTCGTGTGGAAGCATCGGGAAAAGTAAGGTTGGAGACATGGTCGTGCCTAGAGGTTCATTTTCTGTCACCAGAAACTTTGATTATTTTTTGGATGACGGAGATGAAAGTGTAGGGAGTCCGTATAATTTGTCAAAAGTATGTTACGCGGATCCCGAAATTTGTGAACTGGTATGTTCCTTATACCGTTATGCTATACATGCTTCAACATTCTTTTTCATTTTCATTTTCATGTTTTCTCTTTCTCGACAGCTACAACACCAACTTCTCCACCATCTTCCCTCGAATGAAATCCATACTGGCTTGAATGCATCGTGCGACAGCTTCTATTCGTCGCAGGGCCGTAAGGATGAGAATTTCACGGACGACAACCAAGAACTGTTTAAAGATATTATAAAAAAACATCCAGAAGCAGAATCACTAGAGATGGAGACTTTTATGCTGTATCATTTGGCCAGGTGTAGTTCCAACGCGCCTCTTATTAGTAAGAATAAAAACTCGAATGAAGATAATGTGGTAAATGAAAAGAGAGGAATCAAACGGAATCTGAACGGTGAAGGAAAGGAAAATGGTGGCAAAGATGTCACGGAGATAAATAGTAGCTCGAAGATAAAAAACAGTATAAGAGCAGCTGCGCTAATGATGGTCTTTACAGACCGAAAAACCAATGATATCATCGATCCTGATCGAGTGAATTATCTTGAATCAGTGGTTAGTCAAACAGTGCTAGATACATTGATAGCCATAAAGTAACATGCGATGTCGGAAGAATGCTTTTATTTTCTCTATCGAAGAAGAGTAATTAATTAGCATAATACAATAACTCGGATTATACTGTATGTAACACACTGTATTTAGAATTTATTTATGTTAAAATATACAGTATATAGTATAATTATATACAGTATGTAAAATTTATTAAACTGATGTAAATCATTATCGAATAAGGCACCGGTATTCTCATTCAAGTATGGCAACAAGAAGAGTAGTATCGCTTTTACCTTCTGCCGCTGAAATTGTTTCTTTGATTGTGGGTGATAATTCATCGGTTAAGCTTGTGGGAAGAAGTCATGAAGATGATTTTCCCGAAAAAATTACATCTTTACCCATTCTAACTGCACCAAAGTAGGTTTCCTCTAAAATTACTGTGAAAAAAAATTTTTTTAAACTCCTTGCATCCTACAACGTATCGAATCAACAAAACAAAAACATAACAGAACGAAATTTACTACATCTGCTGATGTTGATGCTCAAGTATCGAAATTTCTTTCAGAGGGAAAGAGTCTTTATACCCTTGACGTTGATCTATTGAAAACCTTGAACCCGGATATTATCATTACACAGGTTTTCTCCTGCCTACAACTTTCGTGGTCCTTGAGATGAGGTTACGCCTTCTGATCACTAACTGCATTGCATGGATAGGATTTATGCAACGTCTGCTCCATTGACCTGAATACTGTGAGACGCATTGTAAAACAAATGAACCCTGGTATTTCATTTATTTAATGTTCGGAAGAATGTGCTTGTTTATTTACGTGATCGTATTTATATTTACATACAACACGACTCTTAATCTGTAGTGCCATCTATAGTGACATTGAATCCTTTCTCAATTGAGGTTCTGTCTCCCAAGGTTTTTTTATAAGAAATTTGGGATGCACCCAATTTAGAGCATTTCGAATATAATCGGTTTATCTCTCTCATTAGGATGTAATATCGTCGATTAATACGGTCGGAGTTGCGCTTGGAATGGAGTCAGAATCATCAAAAGTCATATCCGAATTAAGATCGCGCATTAAAAACGCTCGTGACCTTGCCAATGAAAGCAACAGGTCAGGCAGAAAACGCGCTCGAGTGGCATTTTTCGAATGGACGTCGCCCATCTATCTTGGTGGTCATTGGACTCCACAAATAATTCGTTGGAGTAATGCAAGTAGTCCCTGACTTAATGATCAATCCCTTTAATGCAACAAATGCGAAAATAATTGAATCTGATCGTTCAACAGGGCGTGCAAGTGGTTACTGACTGTAAAGACAAGGGAATCGCAGAGATGGGTGCACCGCCATCGTACGTCACATAATATGCTTCTCCGAATGAACTTATCCTTAATAATAATAATAATAATAATAATATATATATATATACACGTACACTATATATTCGAAGAGTTCGAGTATCACCGCAAGATGTAATTTCAGAAAACCCGGAAATATTAATAGTTTGCCCATGCGGATTGGATCTTCAGGCAACCAAGAAAGAATACGAAGAAACATTGTTGCCTTCCGATTGGTGGCCACAACTTGCAAATAATGCTTCTAAAATTGCATTGGTGGATGGAAATCAAATGTTTAATCGCTCAGGACCTCGTAAGTCTCAATCTCCACCCGTGATTATTATGACGAATTACCATTAACGAAGGTTTTTTTTTTTTTAAAGGTCTGGTGGATGCATTAGAATGGTTGGTCGGATATATAAATGACATTCCGGAAATTATTCCCGAAAAATTTCCCTGGAAAAACTTGAAATCATAACTTTTTAAATGTACAATTGAACGCGGCAATATTGCACGAACGGAGAATGTCGAAATAAAAAGTTCCATTAGAAAAATGATTGACAAATTATTTCGCAATTTGAATTTGGATTACGAGCCGGATGACCAGATAGAACGCCCGAATTATATTCCGGCTGTAAAGTGTATAAATAATATAATAATAATAAACTTGGTTTTAAAGGATAGCATCATGGGTTTATGATATTGAAGAAAACAATGACCTGATATACAGTGCAGCAGTGATAATGATTTCTGATAAATTTAGCAGGTGTGGCTTGTTTTATCTCATTCTAATTCACGTGGTGAAAAATTCAATTGGTTGTCTTTCACTTTTTTTTTTTTTTTAATTCTAATCATGTCTGAAGCTATCATTCTCCCGGACAGAGCACAACCGTTAGCGAATTATCCCCATGCTCGTAGAGCCGGAGGTTTTATCTTTGTGTCTGGGGTTTCTTCAAGGAGATCGGACAATTCGTGAGTAACATGTGCTAGATATTTGTGCCCTATCGAGCTCGCTCATGGAAATTTGAACCGTTTTTATTCCCTTTCTTTCAAGATATGAAGGGGTAAATGAAAATGAAATGACAAGATCATTTTTAGAAATGCATCACATCATTCACATTAATTGCTTCGAATTTCAAAAGGTAAAGGTGCTTTCAAATGGAGAATTAGAACTTGACATTCGTGAACAAACGAGAGCTGTAATCGAGAATATTGCTACCATCCTCGAAGCGTCGCGAGCATCGTTGGAAGATGTAGTAGATTTGACGGTATTCTTAGTGGACATGAAAGATTATTCTGGTTTTAATGAAGTCTATAATAAATATTTTGACGCGCAAAATGGACCCGCAAGAACAACTGTGGCTGTGAAACAACTTCCCTCGGTAAATCTTCCTTGCAATTATTTTTTTCTACCACATTATTGACTTTATCCATCACATTCCAGCCGAAATTGCTAATTGAGATTAAGGCAACAGCCATGATCCCTGTGTGAATAATATATCACATGACATTATATTGAGAGTGTGATGTCATAAATATGAAATATGTGGACAAATAAACCCTCATTCTTTTTAAACACATTCTCTCTCTCATGTCAAAGGTAAAAAAAGAAAAGAAAGAAAAGAAACATGTCGCATCGCTTTTTATAATAGACTATTAGATGGTCGATAAATAATTTCTCCCTCTCTCTTTTTTTTTTATGTAACGAACTGAATAAATAACAAACAGGAATTCAAGGTTCTTTACTTTGCATCAGCTCGTGATGCTACTAATGTTTCATCCGAGACAATTTCTTTTCCAGCGACAAATTCATTTTTATCACTTCAAGATTTAACAGCTTTGTTGAGAACTCGACATGAAAAGCTTGGTCCAATACTTGAAAACTCAATGTATGCGATTAACATGCAATACGTTGAAAGGAACGATACTTCTATTACTGTGAAGCCTGGGGATGAGGTTGCAATAATTCCACCCGTCTCGGGGGGTTAACATTATCAAAATAATAATAATAATAATAACATTTTTGTTGTAATGTGATGCGGTGGATACGATGCGGTCTATTCTTCTTCGGGGGTCCAATAAGCTCCCACGACAGGAATATTTTGTAAAATCTCACGGCGAACTCTTGGAATTCTTTCGGCAATAAGTAATACAGCCGAGCCTGTAGTCGTTCCGAAGAAAATTATCGAAGGAACCCTGGAATAAAAGTATTTTTGTTTGAGAGTTTTCATAGATAATGAAAGCTTTATGCGCACAAAATTTACCATGCCCTGACTCTTTCGGGAGAGATATGGCGATAGTGACGTTGAAATTCTATGACCAAGGCCATCTGTTCTGAAGAAAAAAAAAGATTCAATGATGCGCACAAATTTAGTATTTACAACGTGGTAAAATGCCTTATGCATGCACGTGATAAACGGCTGAATTATATTATATTACAAAGACAAAATCAAATAATTTATTTCTTAATTACTCAATAACCACTGAACCAATTACAATAAATGATAACTTGTTTGAAAGATAAGAACTTGAAGTTTATTTTATAAAAATTTTAATAGATAATATGGTCGCCATTTTTTTTATTATCTCCTTGCATCTCTTTTTAATCAAACCAACTAAATTTTTTAAGATAGAATTAGAAATTAGATTCCATTCTTCTTTCATAAATATTTCTAGTTTCTCCAAATTCCATGGCATCCATTTTTTGATATTTTTTTTTATAATGCTTCATAAGTTTTTGATCAGATTCAAATCTGGACTATTGGATGGCCAATTGATAATTTTGGGCATGTTTGAGTTAAGGTATGACTTTGCGAGATGACTCATATGTTTCAGGTTGTTGTCCTGTTAAAATCACTATTTTTCCCCTAGTAAGCTCTTGATGTCAGCTATATTTTTTCTTAAGATATCAATGTAAACTTCAGCCATCATTATTTCTCTAAAGCAATACAATTTACTTTTACTCTTCTTATAAAATCTACTCCAAGTTAATATTTTTCTTCTATTTTTAGAAATCTGATGAACTAGTTATGTACCTTTGTACTACTAATCAACTGTGTTGTAAAAGAGCTGGAAAGCAGTCTCATCTGAAAAAAAAAGTTTAATCCAACAGTTGTATAGGTATTCTTTAACCATTTTACCTATTTCTTTCTTTGAAGTCAAGTAAGCATTGATATCACTATAGATATCTTGTTTTTATAATCAAAGAATTTTAAATTTCATGCAAGAGTTGATTGAGAAACTGCTCTACCCAATTCTATTATCAAAGTTCTTAAGGAGACAGAAGGTTTTTTTTTCACTAATCATCTTATTTTTTGTGATAATTTGTATGAAATCATTTGTAGGTGACCAGCTCCTTTTGATTGTTTTATATCATTAATTTTTTTGGGGCTTTTGAAGGTTGTAGTATATAGTTAAGATAAGTATTTTTGTCAATATATATATATTTTTTGTGATGCATATATTCATATTTCAATAATATAACATTAATTGTCTCTGGTTTTGAGGTGGTGATGGTCATTTTAACTTTAGTACGTATCACAAGAGAAAAGGTGAGGGGTCAGGAATATATGAGTAGTTTGTTGAAGAATTATTTTTTTTACCTATAAAATTTTGTGGTACTATCCTGTCTAACTTTGGTTAGTTGCATATGTACAGAGCACTGACAATTTTTTTTACAAATAATATGAGATATACTGTATATAAAAATTTTTTATTTATTATATATAAGAATTTTTTATTTATAGCTGATCCCCAGTTTTCTTAAAAATTTCCTTTTTTGATAATTTTATTGAAAAACAAGAAAAGTCAGCTTTACATATACAAGAAAACACTTTTACATACAAAAACCTTTGCTCTCAAGCAAGTTTAATACTATATACAACCAATTAGCAACAAATATCAAGAAGATTTAAAGAAAATCTATCTTTCCTGCACAAAGTTTTTTTCTTTACAAAGGAAAAAAAAACACAAAAACATTGATTCACAGTAAGTTTTTTGAGATCCAATTTTGACTTCACAAGCTTTCAGCCAGGTCAATACAGGGTAATATCTTTCTTAACACCAAGAGAAGTCTTGCAAACAATAACTCAAGCTAATAAATCAGTTTAAGTTCAAGGTTTACAACATCTAGAAGAACATCCAAGTCTTTTTTGCTCAATAAAATAGAGTTTTAAAAACAACATAACAACTGATTATATCTAAAATGCATAATATGAAATCTGTCACATTTATATTTTCACAATAACAAGCACATGTGACAAATATAAACTTTAAAACAAATGTATTTTGTTTACAATTCCTTACATCATATTTATTTTTAGATTTGATAAACAAAGTCAATCATCTCCAAATAAGATCTGTGATAGCAAAACAACAGTAACTTATTTTGGTGACACATAAACTTTAGACTACATTATCTATCAAAACAGTTAATAAGTTTTTTCACATCACGTGATCTAGACATGTCAATGAAAAGACATAGAATAATACAAGTAACGAAAAAGAGGAAAGTATATATTATGTATATACTAATTTGACTATCAAACAAATTTGACCAACATAAAAAATTTTGGACAACACAAGCTATTTTCAATATAGCTGTTACTCCAGAAACTATATAAGACCTTGTCCCTGAATCAAACAGATACTCAATCCTGGATAGTGTTATTACCTAAATCCTAAATATTGATCAGATTACCTTTGTCAAAGTCACAATTCTTAAGCAACATATCCCATATCTATGGACTCAAGGTTAAGGAAAAAATAAAGATCTTCTAGCACCATAGCTAGAAGATAAATATTTTGATCTAATTGAACAGGAGAAACAATTACAACATATCACCTATAAAATATTAATAGCCCAATCTATGATGAATGTCAATTTTTATAATATAGATCTAAAAAATGATATGGATGTTCAATCAACTATAACAGCAGAAATTCTCAATAATACTGAAATAGAAATGAATAACAAAGAAGTAAAAGACCAACTAGAGATAGAAGAGATTACAGAAAAGATTAAAGGAGATAATATTATAGAACAATTTGTCTATGAGATAAGAAATAGATCATCTTCTTCCAGCATTAATTCCTTTAATATTAAAAAAAAATAGCAAATATAAAATGGGAATTCTTATGTCTAGGCTTCTAGGAAAATCTGAAAATGAGAGGATTAAATACCTTCAAAATACACTAAGCTTTCCAAAAGACTTTCATTTCAACCCTTTAAGAAAGACTTTCTTAATGAAAATGCTTAAACTATATTCTACTAAAAGAAAGAAGAAGATGCATTGTGATGCCTAGAAAAAATCAATAAAAAAAAAGAAGAAAACTTTATCACTATTCCTTTGGAAATAGAAAAATAGATGAACTCTAAGAATATGGTACACAAAAAGATTCTCCAACAAAAGACTGAAAATTACAAGTCTTTATTAGTAGTCAACCTAGTTGATATTGATTGAAATCACTCACGTTAAGAGATTAAAGCTGCCTTATTAAAATATAAAAATATAACAAATATTTATATTTATAATCACTTACATTCTCAAAGAAGAATAAAAGCCCACATTATACCTCATTAGCAGTTCAAGAATTTAGAGAAAGAATAGATAATTTATATTAATAAAGAAACTATTAGAGTTATTTTTACTCAACATGAACCAGATAATAAAGAAATTAATCAAATAATCTAGCAATGCAACTCTCAATTTTTAAGACTATATGGTACTCATAATACTGCTACTAGTCTAGTGACTCGAGCAGTTAGATATATCAAGGCTAAAGTATATTTTACTTCGAAAAATCTATTTACACTCAGAAGGCAAGGCTATACTGTTATATATTTCATATTATTACAAGATCTTGAGAAAGCTTTAAAGCAACATATCTTCATACATATCCATAAACTTATATGGAGTGCTAAAGAATATTTTAGAAAAGAACAAGACCTTTTACCTGACAGACAATATCACAAGAAAACTTCAGAATTAGATAATAAATCAATACAATTAAATATTGAACAGACAGATGAAGAAATAGAAAGAATTGATATTAGATACAATAGAAAATTAAAATAAAAATCTAACTCTAGAAAAGAAACTAATGAATTCAATAATGATACAAATAAATCTTATATTCAGCCCAGGAGCAAACCAGTCACAAATACAATCAAAACAAGGCAAGAACCTAGATCCAAAAGAGTTGAATATGTTTAACTAATAGATAGTAATAATGAATTTATCAACTTAAACAGGAGATGAAATCAAGAGACTAATCAAGAATTCAGAAGTTTAGACAGCTCATACTTTGAACACAATGGATCTACTTCTTGGCAACAGATCTTAGCTAATCTAAAAAAAATGAATACAAGAATTAGTAGAATGGAGCAACAATTCAAAAAATGTTCTTGGTCAGGATGTAAACAAGAAACCCGATAATTATAAAGTGTATCAGTCCAACCACAGTTTCTTGAAGAAGTATTGGATTTCCAAA